GCATATTATATTAACATTACAAAAATGGAGGTGCTACACGGACGTCAGCTCCAGCATCGCACTTTTTTAAAATCTCTTGAAAATGATTCAACAATAGGCTTTTTCAATAGTTCTCGAGAAGTTCTACAATTCCTGATAGGTTTCAACAATCGTTCTGCTACGCAACATCGGTAAAATATGTATTAAATATGCTTGTGGCATCGTACGCTTCAGTGCAGGCAGACATGAGTTGCTTGCTTTTGTCATATTAAACTTACCGAGCTTACACTGTGCGATCGAATTTAGGATTGGAAAGAAAAAAAGTATTTAGGCTATATTCGATGAGTTGTCTCGTTCCAAGTGTTGCTTTGGGAACCAGCGATAAGTAGCGGAGGACTCTGCCCGCCAAGGCTACCCGTTCGTGATCACGTTCAGCTCGGCTACGACGGGATATGCTTTATCGACAGAGGCGATGATCACAAAATTCTATTCGCGGACTCGCCGTTACGATTTAGCGCCATGTTTTTGGTATCGCCTAAAACCGTAGCGTTGTGCATCTCCCTACTGATCTCTGACAGCGATTACTGACAGGTGCTGCCGCCTAGGGCAGCAGAGATAAGAATGGAGATATACAGCGCTCGAGCGCACAGTGTGAACATACTTATAATTCGAGATATTAACAATAAAATTATCTTTCCGTAGGCTTGAATTTAAGAAATTGACTAAATTAAATGAGGCTACCAAAAACGTATGAAACTAATAATTTCTAAGCAGATACACTATTTGTCTCATCTCACTATACACATAAAATAATTGTGTGGTTTTTTATGCTTTTCATTTGTTTTACCTGACAACAATAAATGCAACTTTTAGGAACATTTTTTACTGCTTTTCTATTCGCCTGAATAGTATTTAAACTATTGAAAGCGCTGCAGCGCAAACGGACTTCCAGTCACGCGCGAAAGCGAGCGTGTCGCTGTAGTACGCGTAAAAAAACTATGCCAAGTACAGGAGTGCTGTGCATTCCTCTCACAAAAATTATTGAAATGATATGAATAATGCCACGTACATACATAAGTCACTACATATCTGCTTATTGTATGATCCAGCACTAGACAATCATTTTAATTGTATTTTCAAAATTTCGTATAATGTCTTCGCTATAATATAGCGCATAGTATACTAGGTACTAAAGAATATATAAATTTGTAATATACGAATGAGCCAAATGCTTAGTAAATAATATTCCAATGTCGGCTGTATTAACATCTACTATAAACGCAAGCGAAATCCGAACATTGCCGACGGCTCCCGAAAGCAGCGCTCGGGGGGTTAGTAATCGTAGGTGGGGGTTAAGTTCATGAAACACATTTATTGACATTTTTACAGAAGTCGGCGGAAAAATTGGCGTCAGATAAATTATAAGCAAAAAATTTCAACATTCTATATTTTTCTACGTTCTCAGCGGTTAACTTTATTACATTTAAGTCTTACGGAACTAACATATACGTCTTATAAAAACAAAAGGTACTCTAGCGTTACTCATTATAATCATTCTCGTATCTCCGGAGTCTGCAAAGCTTGTTGTCTTATGGCATTAGAAAAGACGAAGGTGCTAATAATGATTGGTCGATCGATGTTCGCGGATTCTGGGGGACGGAACGCGGAAGGAATACCAAGTTGCCGATGCGATCAACTCCCAACGGGTGAAATCGGGAATCTATGCCAAACGTTTGTGAAATTGAGGACGCGCATATACATATACGAAGACTCATTCCGACTCCAGAAGACACGCGAGCCTGCGCATTGTGCGGTATCTCCGGGGAAAGTTTGTTTATCTCAAAGGCATTTCGTTCCCGAGCCTTGCAGCGGCGCACGACTTTCCAGGACTTTTTACCTTTTCCTCAACTACGTGGGTTCTCTAGCGAACAAAGCTACTCTAATTAAATAACGAAGCGAATTTTCAGAACGACAAAGATAACTCAAACTAATATTGACATGGATTCTCGAGTTTGCTTGGATTGATTTTAGTTGACAGTGTAACGGGAACTGATGTAAACGATCGGAAAGGGCCGTTAGGGTGATGGCTGGCAGATTGTGACAGCGAGTGGGCCCAGTCGCGAGAACGCGCCTCGATGCGGAAGAGGACGGAATTCCTCCTGTAACCATTGTAACGCAACACTGGATTACGTGAGACCGTTTGTTATGGTTCGCAAATGCACTCATTGTCCTCGTGTGCTCAACTTCTTGTGAATTAGTGAAAGCAAAAGTCTCGAGGAATAATCGAAATTTGAAAAATGGTCCCGCTGCTCTTACAATTGCCATGATTCCCCGTTTACGGATCTACGGCCTTCCCCTTTCTTCTTTCCCTTCTCCATGCATCCTCGCAAATGATTATTTCATTGAGTCTCCAAAGTCGTCGCGTTGCGTCGTTACCAAAATTCTTTTAAAACTATAATGAAACGGCGCATTCGATGGTTTACAGTAGAATCGGTCGGTAGTTACAAATAATGTTGACAGCAAGTGCGACCTCGGCCGATTGTGAAGCCTGGGGCCACGTAGCTATTCTTAAGGCGCACATATGATTGTGCGCGACGAGTGTGCGTGCGTGTGAAAGAGAGAACTCGATTTCACCTTATTAATTTCATACCGCAAAGATTTACATGACTTGTTAAAAATCCTCGAGGGTCCCGACTGATCCGCGACGCTCACGCGCTGCTCGGTGCCTTTGCGTACGTATTTACTTGCTGATTCGCTGCAAACTGCAGACTATTCGAGGGCAGAGCTCCTACGTTTAGGGCGAGGACCTTAGAGACAATGTTCAGGTCTTCCGGCCCCCCGGAGCCTTGCAATCTGCCCAGGTCACCGGCGGCGCCCGATTGAAAGAGCAAATGCTGAATCTGCTTGGCCGGAGTCTGCGGAGGCCTCGTCTGCCTGAACTGGGGATACGTATTTCCTCCAAAGGCTTGCACGGTTCTCGTTTGACCGTTGTAGCTTCCCAGGTATTGATTTTTCTGATTGAGTTTCTTTAGATTATCATTGATCCCGAAGTTGCCGATCGAGCCGAAACCCTCTTGTCTGTTAAATCGCGAGCTCGGAATAACCGGAGGCTGAAAGTCTCCGGAGAATTGAGAAAAGCTTTGCTGGAGTCGTTGTTGTTGTAGTAGTTGCTGCTGCTGCTGCTGCTGCTGCTGCTGTAGCTGGAATTGTTGCTGCTGCTTTTGTTGCTGCTGCAGTTGCAGCTGTTGTTGCTGCAATCTTAGTTGCTCTTGGAAATTTGATTGAAAAACGGGAGCTGGAGCTACACTTGGAACTTCAAGAGAAACACTCGGCTGAAGATGCACTGTGGATGATTTGAATGGTGGCTGTAGAGTGAAGAGACCATTTTGATCAAAGAAAAATTGCTGTTGTTTTTGATGTTGCTGCTGCTGCTGTTGCTGCTGTTGCTGCTGCTGCTGCTGCTGCAATTGATGCTGATATATCCTTTGCTCCTCAGCTTGCTTTAGCCTCGCCTGCTCCTGAAGGAAAAGCTGCTGCTGTTGCTTCTGTCGCAATTGCTGCTCGTACAGCTGCTGTTGTCTCACGAGAAACTGTGTCTGTTGGATTTGTTGCTGCTGTAATTCAACAAGCTGTTTCTCCAATAGTTTCTGCTTGAAATCCAGTTGTTCCTGAAGAGTGAGAGCCTGTCCATCCCCAGAGGCCCTGTAGATGGGCACAACACTCTTCGGCACGCCACGCTCGTCCTGCTGTACAGTGAATGCAGCCACCAACGGCGCTTGGAATATCTTCACCTCCTCGGTCTCTTGCTGCTTCTCGTTGGAGGAGCTCGTCGAGGACGCATTGAGCGTCGACTGAGGCGCCGGGACAGGCGGAGTCGTGAGACTCGAGGCAGTGGGTTTCGGTGTTACGAGAGAGTTCACCGCTGTCATCCCGTCGCTCGCGCTTCTCTCGAGACTTCCTGCCAGCTGTGCTACCGGTTTGTGCGTTACACTCTGCACGCTGTTTATCGAAAATGGTTCGGACGAACCCTTGACGCTCCTGGCCTCTACCTGATCAGCCACGGGTTCAGGACTCTTTTCGTAGATGCCGGCCGAATTGTCAGACGAAATGACATCGCGAGTTTGGAAGCCTTTCGAAGCCTCCTGCAGCTTTTGCACAGAACCTTTTGATAACGGAGAAATGGACTCCTGGTACTTTTCGAGCTCGATGAAGGTTGAGTTTTGCAGCTTGTTCTCGTTGGGAATTTCCTCATCGGCCGGAAATCCGTCGAAGGAAAAGGTTGTCCTTTGAATGGTACCGAAGTTTCCGTTCAAATCCTTCTTCGCGATCTCCGGAAGCGTAGTCGCTCGTAGGAGCGTCGGTGTCGTGGAGTCATTCTCTTGAGAGTTCTTGCTCTCCTCGCGTCGCTGCTGCTGCTGCTGCTCGGCAGATTCGGCTTCGAGATCGGCCAGGGCTTTCAGAAGGGCTCGGCGCAGATCCTTGTCCAGCTTCACTGGAGCGACGACCTCGTCCAAATTGATTGGCTGACTGTCAGATTTATCCGACGCTGCTACCGCACCCAGCAACCCGAGTAAAGCCAAAAACGTTTTCTGGAAAAGAAATTAAAAACGCAGCTGTACATTGCCGAACGGACTTAAAAGTTTCTTAACGGGTCAAATGTTTTTCTTCGAAGGTGTTGAGAGATTCTATCGGAACCTCGTGGGATTCGCGAGAAACGTTCCGGGGGGTCGCGTTTCTCTTTGTAAAAGCTGCGTAAACACGCGTGGCTGCGTGTTTGCGTGTTTGCGTGTCCTCGTATCTCCGATGCCGCACGTACGGCTCCGGTGCGTGTCGTTTACGTATCTTTACGTAAGTCGCAGCTTCCAACTCCCTTCCAAGCGGCTCCTCCTCTCCGTCGTCTCTCTATCCCGTATGTCCCGTACCTACGCACATTCACGTAATCTACGTGCCGTACCTTACGCACCGATAAACGTCAGAGCTCACCAGTGTGCAATAGAGGAATCTGGCGGCCTCGAAAACAATTAAGGATGGGCTATTGGCCGTCCGAACGCACGTGCGTAGGTGCGCCGATCCTGGCAGGTTTCTACAAACGCGACTCTTAAAACTTTCATCTAACCTGGAGAAATCCACAGTGAATTTACAGATGCGCAAATATATGCATAAGAAAATGGCTACGAGCCATGCCAACCTCCATGTACAGCCATTGGCACAGAATATTAGATCTTTTCTTCCTCTCGAGAGACGATCGAGACAATTGAAAAAAAAAAAAAAAAAAAAAAAGCCATTAATACTTTTTAATAAGTAAGAAGGAAAAAGAAAGTAGGAAGGAAACGAGAATTGACAATTGACCTAAAGAAATTCTTTAAAGCATTCGATTGTATGACGAATCACGTAAATAATTCATCGGAAGAATTCGCTTCGGGCGACGTTCGTAGCTTCTTCGGAACGAGAAAGACTTGTCCCTTCAAGAATAACGGAGCGATCAATTATCAGCATCTTCTCGAATGGACCACCGAGACTCTCTAAACAATTGCCTGTTTCGTCCCATGTCGCTAACTCGAATGAATTTGCATAACGGAATATTCCCTCCCACGTGACCCACCAAGAGTAAAGGCATCTTGGGACATTCGAGGCAATTCACTCGTAATAGCTGGAGAAAATCTTTTGACATTTAGGAAGAAGGTTGTCGCGAAGGTGAAGCCACGCCCTGTGGCCGTTCGTTGACTTTACGGTCCAGTCGAGGCATCTCACGATGTGCTGTCGATCTATTCGTACGAATTTACATTTAACGGAATGGTCCATAGTGAGAAATTCTCGTCCGATTGTGAACTTGGGGATTCGACAAGCGAGGATGCAGGCAGCCGAAACAGCCGAGATCCTTCCAGGTTCCACAAAGTCCTTCAACGGACTTTCGAGGACTTTCGAGATCTTCCAGGAAGGAAGATTCCAATAAGAGGGACGCGCCCGGGGCGATCCCGATACCGACGGCGTCTTCTCCGAGCATCTTCTCGAAACTTTCTAAACTACCAAATAACCGCGCAAACGAACCTGAGAGATGCCTCCTCGTCAGCGAGTCTGCCACGTCCCATTAATTTTCCTGCGAAGAGATACACCTGCCATATACGGATATAGCAGCAGCTTCTAGATTCGCCGTCGACTGGGTCGTTCGTCTCTCGGTTTCACTTTCGGAGCCGCATGTGGTACATGGTTCATAAGCACGTGCGTCTATTGATCGACTCGTCTTCCTCTCGCCCCTTAAATCGAAGAATCTCTTAATTGCACTTGCTCTTCAGCTAAATCTCCAACAAGAGAATTCCTCAAACTTTTCCTAAAATACTCTACATCTTTTTCCATCGTTCGCGAAGGAAGGTTTAAGCGGCAAGAAATCGGCGAAAATCCTTAATTATATCGGTGTTTCAACTTTTTTTATTGCGGGACGTCACAATTTTTTACCAATTAAAAAATTTCGTATTATTTAAAAAGCAACCTGGGTAAGACGCGAGACTCGGTTGTCTCGAGTTTGGTAATGAGAGGAGAAACACGAGGAACAGGAGGCAGGAGAGCGAGAGATAAGCAGGGACTCCGGAACTTTCACTCGACTCTCAATCAGTGTGTCGAGGATGTGCGCCGCTCGTGAACTTGCTTCACTCGGATCGCCCGGCGATGCCTCCGACCGTTAGACATTAATGAACAGCTCGAGGAAACCTCGAGGAATTAACGATGGAAAGGGCAATGCACCCTTTGCCTGCAGCAGTGCAGCAGTGCAGCGTCACTCGGGCAATCGATGCAAATCGTTCTTGCAAGCGTCCTTGCCTTCGATCCCGTTAGGTCCCGTTAAGCAGTCGGGACGAGTCGGCGTTTAGCGAGCGATGCAATTAAATTCCACCTGTGAATCGCGGGTGACGCGAGCATGCGATCGGTAGGCCTGGTGCGTGCATCCTCCTGGTGAAAGCAGGGATGCCGCACTAACTAATCGGCATACGTAAGATGGCGTAACCCAGAGGCCACCAGGAATCAACCGGGGGACGTATGAGCATCAAGACGAGGAACAAGACGAGTGAAAACCGAATCGGGAATCGATTGAATGGACCAAAGGAAAACGAAACGTCAGTCCGAGTGTCTGACAGTTTTGTTGCTAATTCAACTGAAATTCGATATGTCGAGACTAACGGCTCGACTCACGGGAGGAAAAAGACACCAAAGGACGCTCGATATTTAACCGTTTCCCGGAGACGCAACATTCTTTCCTCCATATTTCCTACTGATCTTACCGATCTTACCGATCTTACCGATTCTGCTCATTCTCGCCGCACCTTGTTTCGTTCGTTCAATTTATTGAATTCCCACGTTCATCGAAGGGGTCACTCTCCGGGCCGAATCCGCATGACACAAAAGGCGCCTCGATCGCGAGGAGTCTAACGTTATGGGAATCTTCCTCGGTTTCTCGCAATTGCTTTCTCTCATGGAATCCTTTTAGTGAAGTTAAGGCAGCTTTGGGAAAACAACAAACACTTGGCTAATGATTTTAAATATTTTCAAGTAGCTTCGATACAGGGACCGAGGCGATTAATCTGCACGAAGGGTAATTAGCTAATTACTAAGGACTAATAACTTGTAAATAAAATGCAAGCACGCGCTACATGCCAAGTGGGTCGTTCAAATTGCAGCCAGTGGGACTCTGCGCAGTTCGCGTGCTCTCTGGAAATTTTACTTGTAATGCAAATTGATTGCAAGCTCACAATCAGAATGAACGCCGAAACGCGAGCTTGCAAGCATCAGCTTGCGCTTTCTTTGGCGGCACTGGATTTACACAAATCAACTGGACTCCTGCGTAACTGTATCGCGATTAGATATACGGGATTAGATGTATAAGAGTCGACCATTCTGGTGCATCAGACTTTTTCAACTGTTCAAACTCTTTTCTCCGTCGCGCTAGTTTCCCCAGGAAGATTCTTTCGACTCTGCACAGTATTTGCCTAAATAAAAAGACTCTCTCACTTTGAATAGCGGAACCGATTGACTTAGCCAATAATTATATAAATTAATATCCAGACCCGCGCCTAAGTCGTAATATATGGTGGCCACTCTTGTGTGAGCCTCTATTTGCTCGGAGGAAACATGTTGACGCTTGTGTTGACGACGACTCGACAAATTTAGACAACTTTTGTACATATATATCGCTGAGAACTTGTGCGAATCGTGAAGCTCGCGTGAGCGTGAACGTGAGCGCGGAAGTAGGAGAAGAAAAAAGATGTTGAAGAAGAAGAAAGTTGTCCCTGCCAATTTCCCATGAAACTTCCATGTTCGTCATTTGCTTTTAACTGGAAACTTTAAATCCTGAAGCTTGTCTAACCTGAAGCTTCCGAAAAATTATAATGTACGAAAAGTATCATTTCAAGGAGCATGTGTTTCATTCAAAAAGTCTATCGACGACTTTTACGATGCTACTATTTTTGGCAATGAAAACGCGTATCGAAATTGCATAATGCGTCCTTCCTTGCTATTTGCGTGTCACTTATAATTCGTTTTTTCTTTTTCTGAAAATATCGCACTCACTATCACTGGACACGAACGAGACAAACGATTTAGGAAATCCACCACCACCGTAAGTCAAGAGAATTTTCCGGATGAGCTTCGTACTCACCAAGCGCATGATGCTGTCTGTATCGGACTGTGCTGTCACTCGAGCGATGCTTAGCTTTTACTCGTGAAGATGATCTCGCTCGTCTCGGCGAAGAAGGTGATAGTAGCCAGCTGGTGGGAGTGCTCGTCTCTCTAGCTGCTCGTGTACATACAGATACTAATGTACGCTAATGCCATACGACTACATCTACCTGCACGTAAGCTATTCTTTCAATATAAATCTGTTTTTACATACATATTGCCTCCCTATAGATAAACTCACATACGAACAGATCCGGTAAAGTAGCGTGTGGATTCTTATCAATCGAAAGTCAACTAAATCCTGGCGTCGCAGCCATGGGTAAAAATGCCCTAGATAAGAACATAGTAACAATCCTATAGCCATCTAAAAAATATTTTGTTTCAGAAATTGATATGATTCGATTCAATGGGTAAGTCATCAAAGAAAAGGCATCTTCAACTTATTTTTTTGACCTGTGTGATGTTGGAGATACATACATGTATCAAGAAGACACAAGAATATTGTGAAGTAACCTTTTATATCAAGGGGGCATAAATGAGATGTAAAACCATTTTAAGATGGATCGCGTTTATTGGTCCGATTCGTTTCATTCGGTAACTTCTATCGACATTTACCGCTTGACACGACGTCCACGACCTCCGTAACCAACAGTTGGCCACAGTTGGCTACGACTAGCCATGGGCTTTACGCATCACTTCCGATATCAATTTACTGTAGTTGACGAGGTTGCACGACAGAAACCGAGTTCTGCCGAAAGATTGCGATTTCCACTACCTTCTTCGCGAAGTTCCGCCTGATGTCTGAAATCATGGCGGCTGCTCTCCTCGCGAAACTATACCCTTGTTGTGTAGTACGCTTCTCTGACCGAGAGTACATGCGTTGAGAAGTGACAGTTTGAAAAACTGGATATCAAGAAATAATGGTACGTCAGGAATACGAGACGCCTCGATATTCAACGATACAGACAATCTCACTGCGCTTAGCTATTATGACATCTAACCTTCATTCACGCTTCTCTTGCCCTTGAACTCCTCGATTTCATTTTTTAAACTTCATGTCCTTTAAATAAGTCGAGTTCTTCCGTATGATGAGGGAAAAACTATTGACTCTGCATATTTATTATTCTATGTATGTAAAAGTAATGGCCTTTTTGAGAAACTCATCTGGCATGTCTTGTAATTTATCTTCTACATATTTTGGCTCTATGATTGTGCCATAATAGAACCACTCTAGTGACTCTGGTGAAGATGTTGGAGAAGATCAAGAAGATTCTTCCTTTGGATTGGTAGCAAACGTAGAAGATGCCTTGACTTCGTTCAGGGAGCAGTGGCAACGTGAATTAGAAATATCTCCTAAAAAAGATCTTGCCAAGAATTATGCTTCGAAAGCTCCAAGTGGAATACCATTGGATGATGATGCAACTTCTACAGAAAACAAGGTATTTCTTAGAAAAGGTTTGCAAAAAGTGTGCACATAACTATAACTACCAATTTCTAGTTTCTGAAATTTCAGGCAAGAAAGTTATTTTTAGAAGGTATTGAGCATGAGCAAAATGGAAAATTATATGAAGCTATTCAGTTCTACAAACGTGCTGTGCAGTTGGTACCAGATATTGAGTTTCGCTTATATGAGTCATCTAAGGTGAAACCTCGAGAGAAATTTGAATCTGATGAAAGATTGGAAACACAAGATGGACATAGCCGTCAAAATGAAGCCAATGACAACAATGAGAATGATGAGGAGGATGATTCAGAACTTTGTGTTAAACTGTCAAGAATCATCTATCGAAACCAATGTGTTTGCTTTCCTCGATTTGAACAAAGTGTACGCATACTTTTACCTATCTTATGTATAATCAATTTACAATTAAAATGTAAGGTCTTTGGTACTCTTGCATTGAAAGTCATAGTATTGAGGACCTTTGAGAACATCTATTTTGTGTGGATGTACCTTAGGTTTCTCCAATATAAACATTAAAGAAGATTCTACATTTTAGGGAACACATATATCAGCTCTGCCCATGGAAATAGTATTATACATCCTGAGATGGGTAGTCTCTTCCGAATTAGACTTGAGATCGCTTGAAATGTTTTCTGGTGTCTGCCGTGGATTCTATATATCAGCCAGAGACGCCGAAATTTGGAGATTGGCCTGCGTTAGGTGAGGCTCATTACATTGATTGATAAAGACAATAGTTATGCGTTTTTATTAACTTCCGTTTAGAGTATGGGGTGTCAATTGCGGTACGCATGAGCCAAAGTACCAATCTTGGAGAGAGATGTATCTGCAAAGGCCTAGGTTGCGGTATAACGGGTGTTATATTAGTAAAACGACTTATATCCGTCACGGAGAAAATAGTTTTCAGGATCAGTTCTACAGACCCTGGCATTTGGTTGAATATTTTAGATACCTTAGGTATGCATCTAGTGAATCGACCAAGAATTCAAAACACCTCCTTTTCTTAGCAATAGGAACACCAAAGAAATAATATGATTTCGTGTACGGTTACCAGGTTTTTTCCCGAGGGAAGAGTGTTGATGCTGACTTCAGCTGAGGAGATGCAAACTTGCGTCAATTCATTGAAGAACCGTATACCTCGAAATTCTTCCGTTCTCATCGGTCATTATCGGCTACACGATGATCGCGTAACATTAATATTAAAAAAGCAGGAGACAAAGGGAAGCAATAACGCATACAGAAAAAAAAGACGAGAACCAATGCATGACAGTGGAGAGCAAACATTTCACGTTGTACGTATCACGCACGGAATAAGTAAAAAAAAACCATGGACGTAACATTCTTCTTAAATTTCGTTTTTCCTGTTTACTTTAATCTAGGAATTCAGTATTCAAAATCATCAGAAGCGAGTGAACTCTCAACTGACGTGGCTGAGGTACAATATATTTACCAAGTACAGAAACGGACAGGAGGGAAACATGTACCTGAACCTTAGCGGCCGTTATCCACCATTCAAATTTAGCAGGGTCAAAAGTTACACCTTGGAAAGCGAAGCTCCGCTGCAGTGAATGTTCCCGTTACGATAATTCAAATTACGTGTAAAGAAATAAGGAGAGAGTTGTCTCCGCGATGATTGGTAGGGCCTTGGTAAAACCGTACAAAAAGGTACATATAATGACAAAGATCCTCTTTAGTTTAAAGACGATGTCAAGCTGCGATTTACTTTAGAAATTGTGCTGCTGTAAGGTCAGTGCGGCAATTTCAACGAATATTGATTATCACTCTTTGAGTGCCTGCAGGGTGTACTCTACTATTCTTCTGTTCGCATAAGTGCTAACGAAACATGCATGCTTACTTACAAGTTAATAACAATTATATCGCTGGAATTTGGGGATAATGGTAACGAGGAAAAACCCACAGATTTTTATTACGTACCCTTATTGCAGGTACAGTTCTGTTTTTACTTAGTTTTTTTTTGTCACTCGAGAAGTAAACTCCAGTCCCGTAGAACGTGTAACCTGAAACGAGGTCTGTAACAATCCTATTTGAAATAGTTATATCTAATGAAGTGCTTACACTAAGTATAAAAAATCACTTCAAAGTTTGTAAACGAGTAACCTCGACCAAGTAGGTCGTCACATTTTGAACAAGTAGGTTCAAAAATGTATCTTGTACATACATGTGCTTCAAATTAGAATTTCATTATCGTAAATAAATAGGCAACCGCCAATGGAAAAATTAATGTTCCACTGATATTCTCAAAGAATTTTATTTGACTAAATAGCATTGTTGATTTTATTATCAAGGAGTGTAATAATAACATTTTAGGAAAACGGATTATTGAAGACACTCACCTCTTGTACATCGTTAGTTATGATCAGTTATTCTGTTCATATAATATACATATTTTTGATGTTCTTAGGTGAGCTTACGATGAGTGGACTCCTAAAAATCTCCTAGAATTTATAATTCCAGCTTTATCTATCGCAGCACTGCTATGTAGCTATGTAGCTGTATCCTAAAGTAAGGCTCAAAAGATGTTTAAGGAAGGCCAAGGAATGTACATTTGTTACGCGATACTAGCACGTACTCTGCGATCATAGTTCCTGATGGATCGGAGAGAAACGAGAAGTTGTCAAGACGCATGCCGTTTTACTAGTCATCCACTCTAGATCCTGAAGCGTCGCTGCATGCATCGAGCACACTGCCAGGACTACCATCACGTGCATTATATTATGAGAGTTGAGAGCCATGTCAACACGTCCCGGTATCCACTTTTCAGGTATTCGAAGGGCGCCTATCGTCCCACCTATCACCGCCACGAGGTCCTGCAAAGGAAATACTATTCGATCATACAATTCAACTACATAGGGGCAGAATATGCTCTGTCTATGCAAGAACCTGAAGCAGTATATGAGGGAAAGCATTCGGAGAACCACCTCCGATGTCAAGGCAGCGCAAAGTCAGAACGAGTAATCGCATCGTGAAAGGTGGAGAAAAACACAAACGCCTCTCCCAGGGAGAACGTGCGCGCATCGCTTTGTAAAGGCCCCAAAAGCTGAGGAAGCAGTAGCTCAGCAAGCAGCCGAACCACAGGGCGTCAGGTAAACAGTGAACGAAGGCCGCGATCATTGGCATTGCTCCTGAAACATTCGTGTTTGTGCGTGCGGACGTGTCCAGCGAGTTTTCCTAATTCTCTAAAAATATGAGTTAAAGAAAGAAGGGCCTACCGAAACTCTGGCAGATCCATATGCCGAGTATGTCGAGTTTCAGTAATCGCTTGTATGTTCTGTCGCCGAAATTGAGATTCATGAAAAGATGGTAGAGAAAGGAACCGATCCACGGACTAAGGGCGCCGATCAGATGACACCACGAGAGGAATTCAGCGAGTGCTCCTTTTGTACTCCATGGCAGAAGGCACGGGACGCTCACGAGAATGTAGACGATCGCGAATCCTGCGAGAGCAACGCCGACATTTCCTCAATTCATGAGCGGGACAGGATGTTCGACTAGCTAGCTAAATAGCAATGGGTATATTGGTAGCGGTGCACTTGATAAGAGAGAGAGAGAGAGAGAGAGAGATAGGGAGCTATCACTGATCTAGACAGTCGCTTCAGAAGTCAAGGTAATACCGAAACCGAATCTAGAAACTTACGACTAACCTTAAGGTCAAAGTATGTCCTGAACGCTTCATTCGATACTGTCGCTGCGAGCAACCACAGTAATGCCTCGCGTGTTCCAATTCTCATATTTTTCAATTTGGTCTTCGTAGAGACCACGAGACACGCGAATTGCAACCTCGTGTAAGATTTCGTTCGCGATAATAGGTAGGTCAATATTCGGAGTAGGAGAAATCGCTGGTTAAGAAGAGCAATATCAGACGAGAAGAAAGTTCATGCTCTGTAAGAGAAGCCGTACAAGATAGAATATTTATTGGATATTGGTTTAAAAGATGTTACATAGACTATTCCCGTGCACCCGTGTGCGATGCAGTGACTGCGAAAATTACGTCATCAAGGGTTGTCCGGAGCTCCGTTCTTAATTCGCTAATTTAGCTAGTTAGATAATCATTGGAACTACCTAAGACTCCTTCAAGTTCATTAAATCTCACAATTAAGAAATTCTTAATGATATGCATTATTCGTTGCAGGAGCATCTTTTGTCCTCCATGCCGCAACCGCGTTCCTTATATCTTAGATTGTTGGGAACGTTTTAAATAATCCACGTCCGAGAGTGAGTCTATTATGGCATTTATGACCCAAGGTTAGTTTGTGAAGGTAAGCGTTTAAGAAGTGGACTCACCGTGCGTCAGGATGTTAATCGTTTCGTTGTGCAGATAAAATAGGCTGCCAAGGCAGCCGCGAATCGTCATAAGAGGTCGATAACCAGAGCGTATGTGAGGATTAAATTGCAAGTGGCGGGGCATGTCGCTCCATCGGAGAAGAATCTTCGGAACATCCGAAAGCACATCGTCGCTTTGATTTTCGTTTCTTTGAGAATGCCCCGAGGAGGAGCGCTCGTGAGCGTCGATGGTACCCCCGAGGCTACCGTTAAGGAGACCCAGGATTCTCCGATGATATTTCAAGAGAGAGAGAGAGAGAGAGAGAGAGAGAGAGAGAGAGCGATAATCGAAGGACCGTTTCGAGCAGGAGAGTGTAAACGTCACCTGCAGAAGAACGGACGTGCTTTCCGCATGGCGCGACTGTAGATCGGCAATTTCACGAAGGCAGAGAAAATGCACGCGCGCTGAAAGCCACCCTGAGAACGATGAAGACTGCGAGTTTCTCCCTGGACACTGACGTTCTCGCCTCTTCTAGTGCTTTGCGCACCCTCGTCCTGCTCCACTTTACCACTGCAAAAGCCCTCTGAAAGAGGGTTGTCACTATGACTACGATATCGATCGTAGTCGGATTATTCTTTGACAAAATATTCTCCGCGAAAGGTGGTGTAACGCGCGACGTAACGGTGACGCAAAGGTGTCCCTGCGAAACGCTCGTGAATGGAGATAGGCTCTTAGTGAAAAAAAAAAGGAAATATATTTTTCAACAACTAGATTCCTCTGATATTTCACTTAATAAGTCAAAAAAGAGGAAGAGGAGAAGACCCTCCAGAGGCAACAGAAGATTAGCGGGGACAAAGTTACTCCTGTTTTCGACGTCAACGCCAACGTGGAGACCTTTTAAAGTCAAATACTGCTGCTAATAGAATCTTGGTGTACAAATTATTCATCTCGTCAGGATGGTGGAAATTAATTTGGGAATCAATATTCTTTGAACGCGAGACGGTGCGTGGAATTCGATGCGAATAGCTGACGACTCGTAGCGACTGATGACAATGTAGGGCGGTAGAAGTTCCGAAGGCGAGAATGGTGTCGTGAACGAGCCGCCGAAAAAAAACGCAAGAAGGCGCAGGCGCCCAAAGCGAAGGCGACGAGGTCCCAACAGCCACAGTGCGCGGTATATCCTCGATGTTCGAGGAAGATGAGCAGAGTTTCCGCGGCTCCTCTTCTCGTCTGTCAACTGATTAGGAAGACGCTCCTTCGCCAGGTCAGAGAGATCCGCCTGCCCTTTCGCGCGTCCTGCTTTCTCTCTCAGGTATTTCCAGGATTCACTCTGACAATCAGTCTCGATTTTCCTTTTTTGAAACACTGTGTTCTCTTGGAACCAATTTTCACTCGGTATTTCCATCCCAGCACTCAGCTGCACTCGTTTGCCCCATAAGAATCGTGAAATACAGCTTCAAATTGAAGTCCGAAAAGTGCAAGATCGATGTAACAATGAACTCTATGGATCGCTCTATTTTCACGTCTATCCCCTCACATTCCGAGCGTTCCGCAGCTGCCATCGATTTCCTCCTTGTTCCACCCATAACGCACCACAGGATTCCGAACGCTATAAGATCAGTTCGCTGTTTCAGTGGATTCGTATCGAGCCATGGGGAATCCCGTGGAATCCATTCGCAGTCAAAAGTTTCGCCCGTCAGCCAACTAATTTCATCAGCAACATCTTCAGTGCAGGACAGGTATTCCACTTCTTGAAATTCAAGGATCGTGCGTAGGCGTACGTGCCTGCATGTTGCACAAATTTCCTTGCTTTGGTAAAAGTTGAAAAATACCCTGTAAATTGATCTTTTCTCACTTTTAGTCATAATTTCAATGATTTTCAAAAATCTGACGAACCATGTCCCATTCTCGAGATCAACGTTACGAGGAGAAATTGCTGTCTTACAATTCGATTCGAATATTGACTGTTTGAGTTGTGTCGTGGCGTGGTGCCACCTACAGTGCTGGCTAACATAGGAGTCATCGACTGATCATTCAGAGCGACGTGCACGCTTGTCGCATGCCTCGTGTCTACCTTAATCAGAGTTCATCCGGTCGACGCTCCTTCGCGTGCATTAAGACATGTTTTGGAATTTCTTCTCACTGCTTCGTGATGGGATAATTCAGGTTGTTAATTACTGGATTTGGGGGCAGGTATGCTACTTAATTCATTCGAAAGTAACCGTTATCCATTTCGTCAAGCCTTTCGGTCATGGACAATGCATTTTGGCACTGTACGCGTTATTGAATTTTCAGAATAGACAACAATTTCATGAAATTTACGCTTACTTGAAAACGTTTTTGTGATTAATCGTTGCACGAAGATCTGAAAGTGTAAAGACATGTTTTTCGGCTACAAATCTCTGACTTAACTTATTGTCAGAATCTTATTGCATGTGAATACATAAGCATCAATCGATTGATTAGCAATTCCTCATTTAAATTGTCATTTGTGTACAGCTATCAAACGACTCTAGGAAACTGATCATGCACGCTAGAATTAGACGTAGCCCTGTCTTTCATTGCCATTGCATTTAAAATCATAATATAATTCAGCGAACAGAAAAACGCGATAGGCATGAGCGAGCGACGATGGAGAAGAAACTTTGTCAAGTTTTCATTATAACATGTTACCATTAAGGAACTGTAGGATCGGCTATACATACATATATATTACGCCAGCAAAAGGCACAGAATGGCAGCAAGTGGCGAAGCACTAAGGTAGTTCGGATAAACTCGAGCGCTTTCGGCTTACTTCGGGCTTTGGCCGAAAACCGCCGAGTGCGTCCGAGTCCCGAGTGGCGAGCCGAGCGCTGCCTGCCAATCGCATCGATCCGATGTCCACGTCGTTGTCACCCAACAGTGTCGTACATCGCACATAGTCGCGTTCCTGGATATCGTGGATTTTCGATTTCACTTCGGATCAAGTGGGCCTGTTCTATCTATCTAACGTAAGTACTTTCCGCCTGCTTCTCGCGGGCCGATCGTAACCCGGATACCCACGAAAACTCCATATGTCGGAGGAGAATCGCGCGTGCGTCTTCCCCTAGTACGTCGTATGCTCGTACCTGATGCTTCCTTCGCCTACTCCAAGATGGCCGCCAATTCACGAAAGTTCCCTTATGGCGTCTGCTCGTCTACAGAATCCTGTGCTGCCTCGCACGTCTCTGGCCGTTTCTCGTCGCAACATTCACTCGATCTTTAGACAGTTTCTAGTGGAGTTGTCTTGAAATCTCGACAAAAGTAACCATCCATGGATCACACTCCTTTCAAGGTTGGACCGCTATCTTTTTCATTGATTTTAGTGCCTGGATGAAGCGTGCCTCCTCTAAGGAATCTCCATCTATCTATCATTTTCATTCACTGTTTCTTCCTCCATCTTTTTTGTATTGACGTATTTAGCAGCGGCTCCCTTGACATTATTTTTTTCATTTGATATGTATTGTATTGCCGATAGGAATTGGATTAGCTTCTTACTCCTTAATTGTATTTCTAAGAGCGAGACTCCCTTGCGTTGGGCCAATTAATGGTACGATGTTTGCAATACTTTCAAGATGCGAATGCCCACGTTTTGCAGAATTTTTTGAGCTGATGTCCACGTCGTTGTCCAAAAACAGTGTCATACCTCAAGCATCATCTTCACGCTCCTGGATATCGTCCGTCTTCGATTTCATTTGGGACCAAGTGAGCCTGTTTCGTCTCCCGAACGTAAGTACATGCAGTCTGATTCTGGTATGGCAACTTTGGTCTCAAAGCATTGGGAGTTTCACTGTAAAAAATCAATGGCGGTTGCTTCCGATCGTGTTCACTTTATTTTGCAAAACTCTTATCTAAAGTCTTTTAAACTTATTCTATGAAAATGAGAATACGAATGGTGTGTAAACGAAAGAAACTGCTCTTACGTATGCACGTTTTCAAGTAGGCATCACACAGTTAAGTGTTTACTTTTATTCGTCTTCTCTCATTTTCCTCTTTCTTCTCTGGCTTGTTTCTTGCTCTTGAGATACATTCGTTCATCCATTGGTATCCGTACTTCTTTTTATCTCTCTCTTTTTTTTTCATTTTAGTTCTACGTATTGCTACAACTTGACTACACTTCCACCTCGTAGTAACACCTGTTTCCTGTTATCTCTTTTCACGAATACGACATTTCGTTTTGTATTTTGTTTCATTCTCGATTCAAAAGTCGAAGGACGACTGGTCTTTATGTAGGAAATTAGATTTTATCGTAGATATTCGAGTTTACTCTAGAAGGGGGTATCTTTGAACGTTTAGCAGTTGACGTGCTTTTCGCGTTGTGCCCATTTTGTCTCCTGCAGCATCCCATCATTCTCGCGCTTTCCGTTGAATTACATATCCTTTAGAGTTATTAGTAGAGTGAAAATGATTTTCGAATGTGGAAGGAAGCTGTTCCCATATGGAAGGGGAATAGAATGTCGATGAACAAATCCAGGGAATCGACGAGATAAATAAGCCCATTAGTAGAATAATTTTATTTAGCAAGGGCACCTTGATAAATGGTCCCCGGGAGTCGAACGCGTTCTCGACTCTCATAATAAAAGTGATAACTTATTGCAGATGCCACGAAGCAGAAGGCGCCATCGCTCTCGCAGCCTTTCGAGAACAACTTGCTCGCATCCCACTGGTTCACCTCAGTACGAGCATAAAAGACGGCGCATCGATTATGATAGTCCGCAGAGCAAGGGCACCTATAGGTGAGTTCTCGTTCTTATCACTTTGCTATCATCATTATTCGTTGCTCACGTCATTATTTATTCTACATCTTTTTTTACTAGTTTAAAGAGTGGTAGGCGCTTTTGTGGGTGTAGTAGTATACTTGGTCCACGATTGAGTAAGTAATGCGTCGAAAGAGGTAGCGTTCCCAGGCATCACTTAGCTTGGTTAGATAACACATAAAACTTACAATGCTATGTAAACCAAAGAAAAAGATTCACAATGAGAAATTAGTTTGCTGATTAGGTCAATTCAGCGCTTTCAATCCAATTAATAATCCCTGGTGGAATGAATTCAGCTCATCGATCAACCACAAAGTTTGCGATAGAGAACATCATTATTTCACTGATTTCATCAAAATTTATTATCTCGTTATTTGTCCATATCGCTCGCCACTCAAATTTTCTTCTTGTTCCAACGCGGTCTGGACATAGAAACGATTATTCGATAAAATCGCGAAGATCTTTCAAGTCGAGACTGGAACGGGCAATGGCCTTGCTTCGAGGCCA